ACACCCAGAACAATTCAGATCAATGAAGTGGTGTGGGTGCCAGGCCAATCATGTTTTAACCCATTCATATGTAAACATAACAGTTACAGAGAAACTGCTATGTTTACATAGCAGGGTTAATACAACCTCTAGTGCATGTCTTCCTGACAGCTGCTAGACGTTTAACTGCGACGATGGATGTGGATTTTGCATCCATCGCGCAGAGCGTCCATAGGAAAGCATTTAGAAATGCTTTCCTGTGGACTGTTAAAATGCGCGCGCTCGACACTTGCAGGGCATGCGCATTACGCACCACTCATGAGCTGACTTCAGTGGGGTAGGAGAGATAACGAGCGCCGAGGGAGCCCGGCGCTGGATTTAACTAAGCTGTTGAAGTGGTTTTAACACCTTCAGCGCCACGGGAGGTGAACCCTGACGGAGAAGTTCCACCAAAGATTATATAGTGTCGTGAAAACAGCTTTGTTTAACAGACACTACAGTGATCCTCTAAATAACTTTATTAAAGGACCACTGTAGGCACCCATACCACAGACGACATAATGATGTCGTCTGTGTGCCAGGTCCCTCTAGGAGTAACCCTTTCTTTTATATCAACATTGCAGTTTCAAATAAACTTCTATGTTTATATTTTGTTAAATCAAGCCTCCAAATCCTCTAGTGATGGGGTTCTCAACCCAGTCCTCTGGACCCCCTACCAGTCCGGGATTTGGGGATTACCTGGGTGTGTCTAAGGTGTTTAGAAAAAGGGTTTAAAAAAATACCTTTGACTCTAAGGGTTTTTTTTTCTTTTTCTAAACACCTTAGACACACTTATGTTATCCCTAAAACCTGGACTGGTAGGGGGTCCTGAGCCCCTGCTCTAGTGGCTGTCTCATTGACAGCCGCTAGATGCGCTTGCGTGCTTCTCACTGTGAAAATCACAGTGAGAAGAGGCAAGCGTCCATATGAAAGCATTGGAAATGCTTTCCTATGAGACAGGCTGAATGCGAGCGCAGCTTTTGCTGCGCATGCGCATTCTGAAAAAGAGGATGATCGGAGGCGGAGAGGAGGAGGAGAGCTCCCTGCCCGGCACTGGAAAATAGATAAGTTTAACCCCTTTCCTCGCCATCCAGCCCGGCGGGAGGGGGCAAGCTCAAGCCACTATAGTGCCAGGAAAACAAGAGTTTTCCAGGCACTATAGTGGTACTTTAATTAGTTTTTAAAATTGTTTTACCTGCCTCTTCAAAAATGTGAGGACTGGACTCTTTATTGTTCATCTCGTCCACTCACATGATGCCAGCAACACACAATGTCTGTCGTAATAAAAACAAGAAAAAAAATTAATATAATGTACTAGAAATGTTTCTTCTGCTTATTTTCATTGATTTCTTCTTTTTTAAAAGCTAAGTAAAAAAAATGGCAAGTGGAAATAGTTCCGTTTCAACTGATCCAAATGATGCGGACATCCAACGTATGGTAAGTTTATATAAGTGACTTACATTTTTCATGATCACTCTATTTTAGTAATATCAATTACCAAATAAAAAAAAAAAAGACATAAGTCTAGCCGATTTTCTAAGCAATGAGATAATCATTGGCCTAGGAGACAAATGGTAATATTTTGTATTGAAGGATAAAAAGGACTGGACCAATGCATTAATCTCAATTCAGTTACATTAGGTTGCATGATGGATGTTTTCATGGTTGAAGAATTTTAAAGGACCACTATAGTCACCCAGACCACTTCAGCTCAATGGAGTGGTCTTGGTGCCAGGTTGCTCTAGTGTCAACACTGCAACTGTAAACATAGCTGTTTCCTAGCCTCGAACAAAAAAAACGCTATAGGGTCATTAGGTCCACCCCACCCTCTGGGTCCCATTCCTGCAGGGCACTCGGGGTTAAAACCCCTTCAGCCACTTAACTTTCTCCAGCACTGTGCTCCCTCGGCTACGGCAATTGCAACGCAAGCATTCTAAACACACATGGTAAAGCATTACTCAATGCTTACGTATTGACATGCAGCATCTTATCACTGGCATTGAGTAATGCTTTCCTATGGGCGGTTTGAATGCGTGCACTGCAGTTGCCGCGCAGGCGCATTCGGCAATGATGTCAGTAGGAGGAGTGTTCACCATCACCGAGGGAGCGCGGTGCTGGAGAAAGAAAAGTGCCTGAAGGGGTTTTAACCCCGAGTGCCCTGCTGGAGTGGGACCCTGAGGGTGGGGTGGACCTAATGGCCCTATATTGACAAGAAAACCTTTTTTTTTTTAAAAACACTATTGTGGTCCTCTAACTGTTATCATTTATTCAATACCGACTAGGATTCATACAAATGTTATTGTGTTTATGAAGATCTAATACATATTAAAAAAAAAACTACTACATATATTTATAGCTGTCAGAATATTTTGAGGACCGTCATCGACATGCAGTTGATCCAGATATTTTAAATAGTATGGACTGGGATCCACCTGCACAGCAAGTGATTAATGACGAAAATACGCAAGCTTCACCAACAAGAGTAGGAACATCGGAATGGTGTCTGTGTGGCAATTGTATGCCAATGCAAAGTGAGGAAGAAAGTCTATGCTGCAGGGAGATAGAGAACATTGTCGATATGTTGAATGAACAACAGAATTGCATTTGCAATCTTCCATATCTACGTGAGCAATTATCTTCACGGGAACACGTGCTGTCTCTATACCGTTATGGTCTCAGCTATGTAAAATCCGCTCGATTCCGTTCTCCGGAACAAATGCAGGAAAGGTGAGTGTATCATAAATCTAAATACAGCGCATTGTTCTTTAAAACGGTCATGGATTTAAAAAAAAATGAAGCAAAATTAATCTCTAAAGGAGCACCATAGTGACACAATAAAAACCTTGTTTTGCTGGCACTATATAGTGGTTAAGTCACCCCCCAACCTCTGGTGAACAAATCCTGCTAGTCTGAAGGGGCTAAAACATCGTCAGCCACTAGCCTTTGTCCAGTGTTGTGCTCCCCCGGTGATGGTGACCTCTCCTCCTCCTGCCAATGTCCGCTACCAATGCACATGCGTGTCTATAGCGTTGCGCATTCGGTAAACAGCCTATAGGAAAGAATTACTCCATGCTTGCCATTTGAACGTCCAGCGTCTTCTCAGTCAGTTAGAATTGTGTAAGCTCCTCTTGCGAATGTCTGTGAGACAGCCTCTAGAGGCTGGATTAACCCTCAGTGAAACACAGCAGTTTCTATGAAACTATGTTTACACCGAAATGGGTTAAAAATAGTGGGACCTGGCACACAGACCACTCCAAGTCAATGAAGTTGTCAGGGTGCCTGGTCCCTCTAGTTTTAACCCTGCCGCTCCAAACATAGTGTAGGAGAAACTGCTAGCTTTCAATGAGGTTTAATCCAGCCTCTAGTGGCTGTCTCACTGACAGTCGCTGTTTCCTCAATTCTCACAACGCTGGATGTCCATAGGAAAACATGGAGTAATGCGGACTCTGGCAGAAGGAGGAGAGGTCGCCAGCACAGAATGAGCTCGGTGCTGGAGAAAGTCAAGTGTCTGAAGGTGTTTTAACCCCTTCAGCGCATCATGAGGGGGGGCACTGAGGCTGTGTGGGGGGGGGACACTAATGACCCTATAGTGCCAAGAAAACGAGATTTTTTTTCCTGTCACTATAGTGCTCTTTTGTTTTTAGTATTCAAATACTACAATTGTTTATGTTTAGTTTTAATTACTTTCTATAGTTTTTGATGCTAAATTTTATATTCATAATTTAATATTTTTTTATTCTATACTCCATTGACACTCATTTTTTGTTTGGTTATTTATATGCAATGTTAAATGTTTCCTTTTTTTTTTTGTTCACAGTGACTACCGAAAAACTGCCTACAGGTCCTTCACAATGTGGGTGTACGGATACCTGGGACCCAAAAGGCGGCGTCCGATACCCTCGTGCACAGTAAAACTGATTAGGTCACACTTTCCTGCACCAGATGCGATATACATGGGTTTTAGATATGCGGATGATGACCCTATAGCTGTTGAACTTGTATAGTAGACAGTACGAAGCCTTGCAATTGTTTTAGTTTATCAAAATGTGTTAACTATTCAACATTGTCTGTTTGTTGTATATAATGTTAAAAAAATTTAATATGTTAATTTATTTTTATTGTACAATGTAAACTGTTATAAAAATGTTTATTTCTTATATTAATATATTAAAAAATGATAAAAAAATATTGCATTTTTTATTATTTTAATGATACTTTCATCTACTAATTTTATTTTATTAAAAAAATAACACAAACAGTTATATATATATATATATATAATGTTTTTTTCAAATACTAAAAGTAATTTTACTTCAGTGTGATGGGTAAAATTATTTGTCCTTTAAACCAGCTATCACTAATTTCAATAGGGTGTCTACATGAACATAATTATTGAATAAAGTACAAAAATTGTGAAGTAATAAACATTTATTAACAACATTGAAAAAAAAATTTACAACAATAATTTAATGTAATAAATAACAAAATTTTAAAAATAAAATTTGGAACACAAGTTAACTTTTTTTTTAAAAGCATCCACATCGCTAAATTAACTTTATTGTTACATTACATGGTTTGAAAATACAAATAATATTTTTTTTTTTTTTATTAAGTAAAACATTATTCGACAATATCAACTTTGAATTTTCAAAAATATGACAATAATAAATATTTTAAATTAAATAAAATAGTAAATTACAGGCACAATAATAACTTAATGTGCATATAGTTGTTATGGTTCCTGTAATGTAACATGTTAAAACAAAAACAAATAGTAAGTAAGTGCAACGTCCTGGTTTTGTATAAGAAATTATACAAACTGAACCAAAAATCAAAATTATTTTAAGAAATTAAAATTTGTTCTTCGAATACAAATTACAACTAAATTGCACTATAAACAAGTATTTAGCACCATTAACAGAAATGTCATTTTTATCACCAGTCCAAAAATTTCTTACACAAATTATACATTTTTGAACATTTTAAAGTCTTCTTGGGCGTAAACGCGAAAAGTGACGGTCAACCATTACCTCCTTTGGTGGGCGAGGTGTTGAAGCAATGTTTATTGGAAGTTGCCCTGTTTGAGACTGCCAATTAACTTGTAAGTCACCTGAGGCTATTCGTAGTACGTCAGCCATCATTGGATATATATGGGCAATAGTGGTTTTTTCATATATTTTCTTAATTTTCCAATTTTTACTCCTTTTAGAGAAAAACGGTTTGAACCTCAAGTCCCCAATGTGTCCAGTGCCTGCTTGTTCTTTCTGTATAGTGGCCTGTTCTCTGCCTACATTGGCGTTGTGGGCCAAAACAGCCAGTTGTGTCCTGGCTACCATCCCATCCATTGTGAAATGTACTCTTTTGGGACGGTATTTTAATACCAGGCTATGAAAGACTTCAAGTGATCCCGTGTGGCAAAAATGAACCAAATGTGGAAAGTCTTTCTCTAATTTTGAATCTGTGACAAAGCTTCGAAGTTTGGAGTATGCCACTCCATTTTTTTTCAACCAGGATTTCTGTTCAAGAGTTTGATCATATTCCGCATGTTGACATTTTTTGAAAAGTGTTGCAGAGTCCCATTCATGTTCGTTTATAATGTGATGCATTACCGACAGCCATTTCTCTTTTAACAAAATTGGATTTCCTTTGCTGTATGAACAAGCTGCCCACATGTGATTTATTATCGAATTTTGCCACGGAACCAATTCCTTGTACATCGCTTGGCGACATATGGTTGATAGTTTTAACCGAATGCTCCGACAATAGTGCCATATATCGAATTGGTGATTAATGGCTTTGTATCTCTCTCTCATGATTTTCCTTATGCTTACATGACGATCGGTAACGAGAATTGAAATTAGAATTTTGTCGGCTAGTACTTGGTCCATGCAACTTTTGAATGCCAGTGATTCCATAGCAACAGATGATTTTGCGTCACTCACTTGAATTGTTTGACATTCTATTATTTTTTGCGATTTTTCCTCCAAAAGTGAATACGTGCAGTACTTGGCATTAAATCCAGGGCTGTCACATTGCCCATCTCCTGACAGACATACCATTTTTCCACGTAATCCATCTATCAATAATCTTCTTTCTTTCTTATAATGATGATCGATTATTGGAAATAAAAATTGTTTTTGATATATGTAATGTATGGATTGTGAAATAAACGGCACTCCAAAAATTGCAAAAAGTTCCGCAACTTTAGCAAAGTGCGAACCACTGAACAAAATTGATGCACTTGCTAATAAATTTCCACAAGAACGGTTCCCAATCATAGGCTGGCTGCTCCAAAATTCGCAACGATGATTTGATTCACATACAGTGTATACTTTTAACAGAGTGCCTGATATAATTTTTTCTGTGTTTGTTATTGGAGCGTTACATGGTTCGTGAAAAGTACATGTTTGAACCTTTTTGATCAATAAATCGAGAGAAGTTTCAAACACAATAAACTTCTTTTCTGAAACATAATCCTCAGGAGAGGGCTCTGTTAAAAATGTTAGATCGCCAATATCGGTTGTTTCTTCTTCGGGACTGTAAATCGGGTCATTGAATTCTGAAACATTCAGAGTTGCATCCATTTCCGATACTCTTGTAATTGAAGAAATGTTTGAGAATGGCGTATCTATGTTTTCTACAGGAACGGACTGTTGTGAATTTGGGGATAACAGTAGTTCTGTCTCCATTGGCATTGCACCTGGCATAGTGCAAACCTTTTTTATAGTATCTGTTTGCTGTACAATTGCAGCGTTTGGTGAATTGTCAATGGATCCTGCAAATTCTTCTGTAGGACCAGTCCAAGTCCAGACATCCTTTGTTGGATTCAAACCAATTATATTGGTGGATACATCACTTGTTTGAATTACACTGTGGGTTTGTGTAGACCTGCTCCGCCTTCCGTAGTATTTCGAAGTTGATACACCTTTGGCAATCATTGTTAAATTTGTGGTGTTGGTAGCTATGTTCATAAATGATTTATCAAAAGCCAGTTTGTAATGGAAACCTGCTATATACTCGTGATCGTAAATAGATGTCTCAGACTGCGCTCCGAGGTCCTCTGACGGAGCTCCGAGGTCCTCTGACGGAGCTCCGAGGTCCTCTGACGGAGCACCGAGGTCCTCTGACGGAGCACCGAGGTCTTCTGACGGAGCACCGAGGTCCTCTGACGGAGCACCGAGGTCTTCTGACGGAGCACCGAGGTCCTCTGACGGAGCACTGTGTCCCTCTGTTGAAGCACTGCGGTCCGCTGACGGAGCACTGAGGTCTAACATTTCTATATCACTACTGTTTTCTGCTCTCCTTAAAGTCATATCGTGTAAAGTTTGTAAAACTTTAGCTTTTACAAAAATAGTTGGTTTTGCCATTAAAACCAATCGTGTTCTCCTTTCAGACTTTACTATCATATCTGATGTGAAATGGTCCGAACAAATTTTGAAAATCTCACTTTTTTGTTTTTCCATGATTAATTGAATTGAGCCATCTAGGTTGACAAATTCGTCACCTGTGGCTAAAAGCCATTCTTTAATTCTGTCCGGTGTACTTGGAAAATTAAAGAAAGAGCAATCTGGTGAATGTTTAGTGTGACTGTTTCTGCAGCCTACAACTAAACACTTTGGCATTTTGTCTATGTTTGTAAAACAATAAAAGGGATGACAAAAGAAAATAAGAATAACATGTAGTGTGATTGTTGGCGCCAACACTTCTCTTAAATAATACTGAAATTTTTTTGACATTGTTAATTTTGACAATTACAACTATAATAATTTTATTAAATTTAGTAAACTCAAAAATGGACGACGAACACATAAATAAACAGGCACTGAAGACTACATATACGATTCACAAAAAAAAAATATCACTTGTGTTCTAAATATTTGCACACATTCATGTATTATTATTCGACTGTTAAGAATTACTCTTTAACTTCCCTGCTGTCGCGCCAACGTGTTGGAGGTGCCAGGAGGACAACGGGACTCTATTACACATCTGGTGGGAATGCAGACTTATCGCACCATTTTGGAATCGACTCAAATCAGATGTTCTCCTAATCCTTGGGAACGACACTGAATGGTCACAAGAACTGGCCTTACTGCACATCTCCTCACAACCACTATCCGCATACAAAAAATCTGTACTGTGCCATCTACTGAACGCTGCCAAATCACTCATTCCAGTATACTGGAAGAATACAGACATCCCCACAAGAGAAGAGTGGATTCACAGGGTCGAAGACATTAGAGCGGCAGAGGCACTACAGGCAGAATTGACGGGCAGAGAGGCAAAATATGCGAACATCTGGGAACCGTGTCTCACCTTCCGTGCGCAACAATAGGGGGGCGCTGGCGGGGAGAGCTGGGGGCCGGGGGACGGCGCAGCCCTCTCGACAGACCCACTACATACATTATGACCTGCGGCCGCCAATGCCACTCCTGTTGACAGACACTACGCCTCATGTACCATCCACACCACTCCGACTGGACGAGACACTACAAAGGATGACCTGAGCCAACAAAAACGCCCCTAAGCGGCCCACATAAATACACACAATTAACTGGCTAGTCGACACTCACATATCGCCCCTAACTAGACAGCACGACACAGCGACGGACTATGAGCCCTCACAGGCAAAGACAGCGGTCTCCGGACCTCCACCGTCCCCACGGAGGGGAAGAGACAAAATGAGACAGACCTAACACTGCACGATATCCACACCCAATCAGACGATAGACGTCAGACGCATCAACCTGACCCCCACGGGAACCCTGATTATACACCATACGACAAAACAGGCTGACTGGGACCTGACCGGACAGATGAACCATCCGAGGGACTGGGTGTTGCAGAGCACAACGACCCTCACATGTAGAGACCCCTCGCCCTCAACCCCCCTTACTTATGACGACGATATACCTTCACACTCACGGGGCATCACGGCCAACTTGTACCTCATACCTCCGTCAACACAAGACACCTGATACGACACTTCCAACGCACGCCTATTGCGACATGCACAACCCGATCATACAAGCTAGGCATGGAACACGACACGGTCAGGCAACAGGTCGACCAAGTCTGGGGAAACCTCATGACACAGCTGGGCTCTCCCGCAATGACCCTCCTGCACCAAATGCGGGCAGTTGAGGGAAGAATGAGAACACCTCGATTAAACATTCACATTGTTGGAGGGACTCTCCCATGCTATCGTGTCCTCTTCTCGAACCAACACCATCCTCTTCCCATCCCACCTACAATAATTGTGTAATGCCACATACCTTTATTGCCAACACTCAACAACGCCCTACCTGTGGGCTAAGACACACCCTAATCCAATACATCACACCCCACTTCCACACTTCTCGATGAGAAGACTTGACACACGAACCATTAGTATTCACACGGCTATAAAACGCCGATACATACCAATTACCCCGCACCGCCCTAGCCCTCAGGGGACTGATCTGAATAACTATGATTATCACGAGCTCTAGCTAAGTACCCCTGGGAGAGGGACACGGTAACGACTACTATTAACGATCTCATGTTACCTAATATTGCAACTGTAATAGATTCTAACCACACATATTTATACTGTTTGGATATCTGATGCTTTTATTATGTAACCTTGTATTCTACTATTAATGCGGGCCTGCGGGCCCAACTTTATTTACTGACTGGCTTCAATAAAAACTGATTAACAAAAAAAGAATTACTGTTTAAAACTGAAAACTTAATACAACACCCCCCCTAAAATAAAAAAATTAAAAAAAAATATTAAATATATCTTTAAAAAATTAAAATATGTTAGTTTAATTTATTGGAGATTGTGTTATGTTAATCTTTGCAAATTAAAGGACCACTCTAGGCACCCAGACCACTTCAGCTTAATGAAGTGGTCTGGGTGCCAGTTCCTTCTAGGGTTATCCCAATTTTTTAATAAACATAGCATTTTCATAGAAACTGCTATGTTTGTGAATGGGTTAAGCCTTACCCTATTTCCTCTAGCGGCTGTCTCATTGACAGCCGCTAGAGGCGCTTGCGTGTTTCTCACTGTGATTTTCACAGTGAGAGCACGCCAGCGTCCATAGGAAAGCATTATGAATGCTTTCCTATGTGACCGGCTGAATGCGTGCGCAGATCTTGCCGCGCGTGCGCATCAAGACAACGGGGATGAGAAGAGGAGGATGGGAGGAGGAGAGCTCCCGCCCAGCGCTGGAAAAAGGTACGTTTTAAACAGTTTCCCCTTTCAAGAGCCGGGCGGGAGGTGGACCCTGACATTTACATTTACAAGTAAAGTAAATAGCAATTAGATGACGTTAGACATTCTCATAGATTTTAACGTCAGATAAGTTAACTATAGAAATGCAATCAGAAATTCTTCACTATGGTAGAGGTTTAAAGGACCACTATATTGCGAGGAAAACATACTCTTTTTCCTTGCACTATAGTGCCAGGAGGGTGCACCGACCATCAGGGTCCCCCTCCTGCCGGGCTATAGGGTCAGGAAGGGGTTAAACTTACCTCTTTATCCAGCACCGGGCGGGAAGCTCTCCTCCTCCTTTTCCCTTCCTACTTCTTCTATTCGTCTTTGGCTGAATTTTTCAGCCACTCCATAAAAAAACCATTCACAATCCTTTCCTATGGACGCTGGCGTCACGTAAGCGCCACTAGCGGCTGTCAAGAGACAGCCAATGGAGGATGGATTAATCCATTTATAAACATAGCATTTTATCTGAAACTGCTATTTTAATTAAAAAATTGGTTAACCCTAGATGGACCTGGCACCCAGACCACTTCATTAAGCTGAAGTGGCCTGGGTGCCTAGAGTGCTCATGTAACGCGAATAGCCATAGCTTACCGATATTCAATACATTTACGATTTCTAAATTCTAAATATAAACAATTTTAAAAAGGAAAATGCACAAAATATACATGACACATGTACTAGATGCAGTGTGTTTATACAGGGGAGTTGTGTGTATTTGTGTAGTGTGTATATAATGAATGCATAGCGTGTGTGTGGTGTGTGTGTTTCGGGAGGTATGTAATTAAAGGACCACTCTAGGCACCCAGACCACTTCAGCTTAATAAAGTGGTCTGGGTGCCAGGTCCAGCTAGGGTTAACCCTTTTTTTCATAATTATAGCAGTTTCAGAGAAACTGCTATAATTATGAATGGGTTAAGCCTTCCCCCTAATCCTCTAGTGGCTGTCTCATTGACAGCCACTAGAGGCGCTTGCGTGCTTCTCACTGTGATTTTCACAGTGAGAGCACGCAAGCGTCCATAGGAAAGCATTGTAAATGCTTTCCTATGCGACGGGCTGAATGCGCGCGCAGCTCTTGCTGCGCGTGCGCATTCAGCCAGCGGGGCGGATCGGAGGCGGAGAGGAGGAGGAGAGCTCCCTGCCCAGCGCTGGAAAAAGGTAAGTTTTGACCCCTTTCCCCTTTCCAGAGCCGGGCGGGAGGGGGTCCCTGAGGGTGGGGGCACCCTCAGGGCACTATAGTGCCAGGAAAACGAGTATGTTTTCCTGGCACTATAGTGGTCCTTTAAAGGTTTCATTCAGTAAAAATTTTCAATAAACGTTACCACTCCAAAAAATTGCCTACCTTGATCAAAGTCACGCACAATGCTGATTCTGATGACGCAAGTCAATTCTCTGAAAATAAAAACAAAACAATATTATTTTTAAAAGAAATTAAAATTCATGTTTAAGATTAGTTGGATACATAAACATGATTTTGACTGTGTGCCAGCAGGCGAAAAATGCAGCCCCAAGAAAGGAAAAGTATAAATCCTGGGCAGCACTTTTCACGTGCTGAGCAACAGTGAAACTGTGGCAATATGGAGAAATGTATTTCTTCAACACAGCCATTTTATGTATGCCCTCCAGGAAAGCACAGGTGAAGAGCCTGTCTGCCTTGCATGCGCTGAAGCGCAAGATGAAGGACAGACCTTTTCCTGCGCTCCAAGGATGGCATACTAAAATGGTACATAACAATTGAATACACAATTCAACACTCCCTAACGGGTGGTAAAAAAAAATTGAAAGAAAGAAAGAAAGAAAGAAAGAAAGATAGCAAGAAAAAAAGTGAGTCTGACTGTGTGCCGCAGGCGAAAAATGCAGCCCCAAGAAAGGAAAAGTAAAAATCCTGGGCAGCACTTTTCACGTGCTGAGCAACAGTGAAACTGTGGCAATATAGAGAAATGTATTTCAGCACCAGAACCTTTTGCATAGATATCTCTTTATCCGATATGTATAAGCATACAATAAGACAAAGAGAGCCAGGCAAACTTTACCCAAAAATATAGACAAATTAAAACTTACCGTAACCACTTTGAATTTTTCACAAATTCAATTGCGCTTTGAACGATTCGTAAATCTGCGTTCTGAAATTGAAAAGAAGAACAATATTATTTTAAAAATTAATTTGTTGTAATTTCTATATATAAAAAAAATATATATATATATACACACACACAATTCTAAGTGTATATATATATATATATATATATATTAGTATATATATATATATATACACATACATACATACATACACACATATAAATATATATATATATACACATACACACGACTGTATGTATGTCTGCAATGTATTGTTTTTGGTGCGACATATGTAAAATAATAAACGAAAACAATGTATGCAGACATACAACTACATATACTAATAAAATCAATAAATACATTGAAAATATCTCCTAAAATATTTTTAAAAATACATATATTAAAAAATACATATATAAAAAAATTATAAAAAAATACATATATTAAAAAAGACATATATAAAAAAATACATATATTAAAAAATACATATATAAACAAATACATATATACACACATAAAAACAAATATATATAAAATTAAATAGCAAACTGTAAACAAAAATAAAAGTTAAAATAGTAAAATAGATTACATGTCATATGTAAACAAATCTAGATTTTTTAAAATAATACAAACAGATAAAGTTAAGATTAAACAAATGACTAACTAAAATTAAAAAATAAAAACAATACAAAGACATTACATTAATAATAAAATACAAATAGGATAAAAGTTTACTTACAGTCAATGTGCAGCCAGATTCCGTTAGGGGAGATGCTGCTTCTTCTTCTGTACTCCGTCTTCAGTGAGAGATTCTCTCTCACACACTGGCCTCCGAGGAATAAAACTGAGATGTGAACGCGCTCGGCGCGTTCACATCTCAGCATAGTCTCTAATGCAGGCGCGCTCACATCTGAGCTGCCTGCATTAGAGGGAATGACGTTAGACGTCCAAGAGGATGTCTGACGTCAGCTCACTGTGATTCTAACAGTGAGGATTCAGGAAGCACCATCTAGTGGCTGTCTCAGAGACAGCCACTGTAGGTGGGAATAGGGAAAAAAAAAT